TTATAATCATAATGTCTCTTCTTCTCCAATTGTGTAGCTGCATCACCCGTCAACATTGTGCCTTCTAGGGGTTCCTCAAATCCTTCATCAATGGTGTACCACAATCCAATAGCCTTAAAAATTCTTCATCTGTTGATACCAAATTTCGAAATTACTTTTGCCATCAAACACAAAAACGGGACAATTAGGTAATAGAGTATCCATTTTATTTTGGATCTCCGACCGACTCTGACAGAATCTCACACAGGCTCTGATACCAATTTGAATGATTAAAATACCCAAAGAACAATTTAGGCACAAGCAAGAAATTCAGCAAATGCTATAAAGAAGAAATTTATTAAACTTGGTAGGAGGCTTTTTCGCAACTCATAAACTCTTGAATCTCTCTATATCATAACTACCTCTCCACTATAGAAAATATGTAGTAGCACCCCTATTTATAATACTACAAAATCAAAAACCTATTCTAATATAAAATTAGTAAACAAATCCTAACTAGATATGAATTAAATAAACTACCAAATATCAAATCTTAGACAACTTAGGAATACTAATTAATCTTGATTTAATTTCCAATAATTTTTTTTCTAAAAAAGTATTTAATTCTGAACATATTATATATGCTTGTATTTGGGGTAATATTATGTTTGTTTTTCAAAACAAATTCTCATTCGGTGTGAGGTACGTACTCGTTTTAAAATCTCGACTAATTTGGATTTTTTTGTTGTAAGGTTTATTAAAAGAGAAAATACTTTCTACTAGGATCTTCGATCTACTTCTCCATTCATATAGATCGAACCCGATATCTCTAATTAAGAATGGATAAATTCTATCTAACATCCGTACATCATAAGCCCTGGTGGTGCATGGATTCATCTTTACACTAACATATGAATTGTTTAAACAATTGACGAAAAACAAGGAGCAGAAAAATGGAGCTAGCATGATGTGGTAAACTAATACATCATAAGTACATATAAGTCATTAAAAGATCGTATATTTTAAGTTTACTTATTATTTATGCAATTACGCTAGTCAAGACAACAGTAAAAACAACAATAACTAAAGTTGATAGAAATATAAGCTGCAAGGTACGAAATATGATTCTGTATTTCTGTTTGAAGGAATGTTACCAAACAATCTATGGCAGAGAATATTAAATGATACTCTCTCTCCAATTTCAAATACTATTAATCACTTTGACCAATCGAATTTGTCTTTGATATTTGGCATTAAAAGTAAAAAGCTAATTATTATATTTGTGCAAAGCTGACGTTACTGTTCTAATTAGTTGAAGGTAAAAGTTTACTTGCTCCCAATACTTACACCAATTCAATTAATAATCAAAAGGAGTATTTTCAAATTTTGGATTACTCCTAGAAGATCATGAGAAAAAGAAACACTACACCTAGTGGGCGTTTGGACATAAGAATTGTAAAATTCCAAAAAAAAAAAAAAAAAGTGAAATTGTTTTTCAAGTGAAAATGGTATTTGAAAATTAGAGTTGTGTTTGGACATGAATATAATTTTGAGTTATTTTTGAAGTTTTGTGATTGATGTCAGCTTTTTGGAGTTTTTCAAATTTTCGAAAAATTTCAAAATTCATTTTCAAGTAAAAATTAGAAATTCTATGGCCAAATACTGATTTCGAAAAAAACTCAAAAAAAATTCGAAAAAAAATTCTTATGTCCAAACGGCTCCAAATATGCAGTTATAGGCAAAGACGACGGACATATTGTACTATACAACATAGAGTGTCTGACATAAAGTCCTAAGAGTACATTTTTGCAGGGGCAAAAATTACTTTAGTTCACGCCCAAAATTATTTGTATCTCCAAAAGTATATAAAATTAAATAATTTTTTGTACATAACAAATATATATATATATATATATATTCACACAAATATATATGTAAAATATAAATTTTTTCAATTATTATTTTAAAAATTGATATAATGTCATTCTCCCTTTTAGCAGCCGTAACCATCTTTGGCCTTCCATGCTGTCAAACTTGTCAACTTTATCTCCCTCCTACATAGCACAATAAAGAAAAAGGAAAAAAAGTAAGAGAATAAGGGTGTGTTTGGTATGAAGGAAAAATATTTTTCGGAAAATATTTTCCAATTTTTTTATGTTTGGTTGGCTTTAATGTTTTGGAAAACATTTTCCTTATTAATTCATTTTCCTCCAATTGGAGGAAAATATTTTCCTTATCAAGAAAATGAAAAATATTTTCCAAAACTCCTTCTCAACATTCCTCACCCTCACCAACCCACCCTCCTCTCTCCAAAAAAAAGCTTTTTTTTTTTTTAAATTTCAATTTTTCTGTTACCACCCACCCTACTACCCCCACCCCACCCCACCCCACCCCATCCCCCACCCCCAACTCCCCTCCCGCAAAAAAAATATTTTTTACCTTATTTTTTTTGCAATTTCAAATTTCTATTTTTCGTTTTTCTGCACCACGCACCTCCAC